ACCCAATGGTCGCCCCTGACCTTGGGATGCTGCCCCCCTTAATCTTCATTGGATGGGATTTTCCCTGGAATTTTTTGTTCCCCAATAAAAGCCCACCCCCTGGCGTGTTCTCTCTCTCTCTCTCTCTCTCTCTCTCTCTCTCCTGTAAGCCTCGATACCGCATTAGGTGGCTGGAGTGGAGCTGGTATTAAAGGTAATGAGAGTCTTGTCTCTTTAATTTAAAACTCCCTAGCATTTACTCATGAATCGAACCTTGTTTCATGAAGCCAGCGCTGGTCGTGTGGCAGAAACATATATGACTTAAGTTTGATGCTTTTTTAATTTTTTAAAAAGTTTAAATACTAAGTGTGTATTACATTTAAAATACAATCCCTAAAGCAATGTGGTTATTTTCACACCAGAGTCCTGGTGAGGAACACAGGCAGAAACCAGTCACCGAGGGGAAGGACCAGATGGTGGAGTTGGATGGGTCTGCCCTTGCCTTTTTCTAGCTGTGTGAGGGTGACACATCGCTACACCTCATGGCACACTACTACTTTCCTCTTCAATAAAATGAAGGTAGCAATCACACCTCCCTGGGGACTAGTGTGAGGAGTGCAGATGACTCGTGTAAAGCGTCAGGTCGGATGTCTAGCACAGGGTCATTGCTTTGCCTGTCTATTGTTATCATCACCTCCTAATCTTCAGTTGATTGTAACTTGCTGAGATGTTTAGGTTGTGGGTGACAAGTTCCCTGAACAGAGGGACTGGTTCTATGTTCCTTTAGAACAGAGCTTTGCCTTCAGCTGCCTTTTCTTTCCCTCACTTCTTCTTTTCCTCCCTCTTTCCTCTCTGTCCTTTGGACATACATACTCCTGTACTAGTACCTGAAGAAGATGATGGACTGGTGAGTTCATGTGCCGTAGAATGAATTTCCCTTGTGTTACCAGGAAAAGAAGAGTCTGCGTGTGCCTGCACATATATATATATATATATATATATATATTTTTTTTTCCCCCCTCACATTATAGACACAATAGACAGGGTGATAGAGTAACAGGATGATAAACATGGCCAGGGCTTCCACCACTCTGTGTTTATTCTTGCCTACCATGCCATATGCCTCAAAAAAGTATATGATGATAAAGATTGCAGAGGGCTCCCTACATTTGAGTGGTGGCTTCTTGTAGTCTCTCCACAGCAGTACTGAGGACAGTCATCCATTTCAGAATTTCCAATTTTGAGTAGGGATGCTTAAAGATCCAACCTTAAAAAAGAAGACACACATGTTGAATGCAGAAGGGATACTTCAGAATATACACCAATATTCACTGGGTAAATCCTGGCATCAGTGTACAAAAGCCTACTTTAAGAAAGGAACCAAATCCAGTTGTGTTAAACTATGCATAATTATCAGCTCAGGGATTATCTCTCCTCAACGGGTTTTACCCTAGAATGGGGTCAAAGTTTTAACCCAAAGCTGTCTTCTCAAGTATTTGAAGTCTTTCCAGAATGCCTGCATACCAACGGGACCTTCTGGTTCTTCAGCACCCCACAGTCTAGGGATGGACTGTCTGCTAGAAAGAACACTGTATCAGGAGTCAGTCGGCTTGAGTTATTTCTGACTCTCCCCTAATGAAATGGGTACTCAACATCTCTGAGCTTCGGTTTTCTCATCTGTAAAAGGAGCAGATCGAAGAAAATATCTCGATGGCTCCTCTGTGCAGTAACATTCTTCTCTTGTAAAAATTCAACCTTTGTAGTGAACAAATGGAAAGATTCCCAAGCAGCTTTCAGGAATTTGGGAGAAGAAAATCTACTATTTCTTATTTCATCTCACCAAGTCTAGTCCTTCCAATACACAGCTGAATGACATATACACGAAAATTAGAAAAATAAAGAAGAGAAAGGAAAAAAAGGAGAACATGGAATCCTACCACATAAACACTGATAACAATTGGCTTATCTCCATCTAGAACTTTTGACCTCTACATGGGGAACACTCCACCCGAGTTGTAATTAGGATGAGCACACTATACTCCCTCCCTAGGTCTTTGCCTTTGCCTTGAGCTCTTCATAACCAAGACTCCAGGTGAAACTCTGGATCAGGGCGATGTGGCTCCTCGCCATGCTTAGCCCCAACTTATCCCTAGGTGAAGGACAGACTGACCCTCTCTTCCAAAACTATGGAATGGCTTGCGTGCCTTTTCTTGGGATATCATCCTATACCATCACATGTGACTCAAGTTGGACTGATAATTAACTCCCTTGCCATCTATGAGCCAATGTCCCAAGTCTGACCAATAATATTACTCTTCCAGGCAACCATGGTTGGGCCTCTTCATTTGAATAGACCTAATCAGAATCATTACCTGGGATTGACACATGACATTGGGAGAAAAAAAAAATTACTTTCTTTTTAAGCAGGGAGGCATGTGAATCAAGGGGTGGCAGGGACAATTTTCTTCATAGAGTCCTTGACTGCAGAATGCATTCCACCAGAGATGGTCAGAGATGAGTTCCTGCAGTGTTGAGTCCCACATCCTTCCCTGGACTCTGTTGCTGAAGCTGTTCCTTTGATCTTGCAAGTTACTCCCAAAACATGAACAAATAGTCATCTTGTCACTTAAGCTAGAGTGAGTTGACTTTTTGACACTCACCACCAAAAGAGTCCTAATACAACCCTAATCACATTAGGTGCATCACTACTGGATCATGAGAATTGTCATAGCCTTAGACTGGAAGATTGAACAAGCTCCATCTTAATGTCCTTAAGACTAGATAATATCCTAATTGTTCCCAGCTTCTCAAACTGGGATTAAATCCTGCCCTTCAGTCACCAAGGCCTAGTTCTTTCTAGTTCTACCAAGACCTAGACCTGGAATGACCCCTGGCTTGCCATTTTATTGCCCGCTGAGAAACTTCCAGTCACCAGATTGCCTATCTGAAATCCCACACGTTCACATTGGAGTCTCTGGACACCCAATTCTACTTGCTCTTTGCTCCGCTTACTGAATTTTGTTCTTATTAGCTTACACACCTGGGTCGATTTCCTCAATATCTGGCTTATCCCAGTGAGACAGTGCCAGTCCTAACTACTGATCTCTCAGGCCAACAACTAGAAGTATATGTAAAGAATGGGGAGGTAGAGAGGGGCACCCCCAAGCATATTCTTCAAATCAAGAATCTCAACAGTCCTTAAGGTTGTTTGCTCTATGACAAAACACTAGAAAAAGCTAGTCCATGAGCCTCATCAGCCCTAACTTCTATCATTCCCTGGGTTGTGGAGCAGTTGGCTATATCATGACTATACTCCAAGGGGTGGCCCATATCCTACTCACTTTATAACCTTTTTCAGGGATAGACAGTATTCTTTCTATATCTGTGCAATTATAATTTTTCCTGGAAGATCTCCATTATAACATTTAATCAATTTAACAACAAAAGTTTGCCTTTTAACATATGAGTCCTTCGTCCTGATTCAGAGTGGTTTATTTTTGTGATGATAGGGTCCTGAGCTTCTCATCTAAAAATATGAATACCATTGTCACCGAATTTGGTTTCTCAAGTTTTTAAAGGAAAAACTCCTACGGTGTAGGGTAGAGAAATCAGGGATGGCTGGGTCAGGGAGATGCCTCGGAAAAAACTGACTTGAAATCTGAGAACTTCAGTGTCTGGCTCTGATTATGGCTGCACTAAGAGGATGGCTGGAAAGGTGCCAGACTCAGGGGCGGAAATGACTCTCATTCTGGCTGCTCACCAGAGTTGTATTTGGGTGGGTAAAGGGATCTTACCGTTTTCCAAACAGAACTTGGAGGGCAGTGACAAGTGGATGACAACAGGCAGATTTTCCTCCCCGGAAGGTCTGTTTATGGTTGACAAAAGCTAGGAAGCAAAGGAGAAATGTGAGGGGGAGAGGGGAAGGAGAAGATAAAGAGAGCATTTTGCTAGATTATCACAGAAAACCAAATTGCCAGTATGTAATATTCTTGCCAGGACATTAGCAAAGATTTCATAAACACCAACAATAACCCATGAGGTATTTGCACCATTTACTCTGGAAATGAGTCAGCTTTTTAAACTCAAAACTCCTCTGCATAATTTCTTATTCTTCTGTCCTAAGATCTGGCCTTCCATGTAAGAACTACTGATGAAGCCCATTGCTGATATATATATTAAAAAAAAAAGGGGGGTCTCAGGACACGAGTCCACCAGTCCTTGCCATTCTGTGTCTTTATCAAGTTTTGTGCTAAAATATAAATCTAAAACAAAAAACTTTATTAATTTGTGAAGTGGAATGAATCCATCCTACGAAGAAAAAATATAGATGTTTTAAAAGCTGTCCGAAAGGGAATAAAGGGCCAGGATTGGTGTGGTGTGTTCCTAGAATCACAACTACTCAGGAAACTGAGGCAGGAGGATCACAAGTTTGAGACCAGCCTGGGCAACTTGGCAAGACCCTGTCTTAAAGGATAGAGAGTGAGAGAAAGAGAAAGGAAGAAAATAAAAAGGTAACTTGTTGGAAAGAAAGCAAGACTCATGAGACACCTTAAACTTTATATATAAACCAGGAGTTCTGTAAATTCAGGATCCCATAAAATAGGCTGCATCTAGAAAAAATAATGTAAAAAATTATAATGATTAAAAAAAGAAGAAAAATAAGAATATAGGTGAAAATGATCACAAAAACCATGGCATATTTATTGACCACTCACTAGATTCTAAGCACTATGCTACGTGCTTGTATACATTATATTATTTAATACCCTCAAGAAAATTCTATCATTAGTCATCTTCATTTTGCAGATGATGATGAAATCAAGACAGATTTCCCAGATATCCCCAAAATGATTAGTTGTACAACTGGCAAAGTCTTTTGGAGTCTTTCTCATTCAAAAGAATGTCATTCCCCCACCATATCATATTGACTATCATTAAAGTTAAAAATATAACCCAGAGAAAATATTCAGTGCTTTTCCAGCTCCCCCCAGATGCTTAAAACTATTGAATTTACTGTTACTATGATAAAATTGGCTGGGGAAGAGGATTGGTCACATTTCTTGGTGATTCTTTTGGATTCCCCTGTGTGTTGTCCAGATCTTTTGAAAACCAGAACTAATATGGGACTAGACATATCAGGAGAAATTCCCGAGAGGGAAAGTGGGGTGGGAGGTGGAGGAATCTGGGAGAACGTCCTCTTAGTCTGTGATGTAGATCTGACCTCCAGGTAAGGGGAGAGAGAAGGCAGGAAGGTGAGGTAGCATCATCTTATATTGTAGTGAAGTCTGTCAGCAAAGCTCATGGAGAGGTTTCAAACCACAGCGTCCCAATAAGGAGTGTCCCAGGTCTCCCCGAGTCCTGCCATTGTCATCTACAGATTGTAGTCCATGTAAAACATGATCTAGTACAAAAGCCATAATGAATTTCTGAGCCCAGCAGTTGGGGGTCATGAAACAATTCATTTCCTATTTTCCAAGACTCGAGAGGTACATTTTCGTGGCCACTGCCCCCCGGTAAGGCCATTCTAAACCGCCCTGAAGTTGCCCAACATGTTCCCATGGAAACATACATGATAAATGCACACCAAATTTAACACCAACTATCGATTTTCACCTGCTATGATGCTCCCTGTAAAAAAAAGAAAAAAGAAAAGAGAGGACAGAATGGATATATAGTGGAAACACTACATAAGAACATTTAAAACCAACCAACCAACCACACAAAAAAACTCTCAAACTTCCTGTTCCTCAGACTTCTCTTGTGCCTATGAGCCTATCTGTTCTCAGCTACTTCAGGACTTCAAGAAGCTCTGTCCTCAAAAAACTCACCACCAGAAAAATATATAACCTAATCAGTAAATGGGCAAAGGAACTGCACAAACACTTCACGGAAGAAGAAATACGAATGGTCAACAAATATATTGGAAAAAAAAGTTCAACAATTAATTTGCAATTAGAGAAATGCAATTAAAACTACACTGAGCAAGGCACTAAGCAACTCAATAAGACCCTGTCTCTAAATAAAATACAAGTTAGGGCTGGGGATGTGGTTCAGTGGTGGAGTTCCCCTGAGTGGATCCCCAGTACCCCTCCTCCAAACAAAACAAAACAAAAAAGCACTACACTGAGATTCCATATCACTCCAGTCAGAATGGCAATTATCAAGAATACAAGTATTGAGAAATGTTGGTGAGGATGTGGGGAGAAAGGTACACTCATACATTGTTGGTGGGACTGCATATTAATGCAACCACTATGGAAAGCAGTATGGAGATTCCTTAGAAAACTTGGAATGGAGCCACCATTTGACCCAATTATTCCACTCCTTGGCATATACCCAAAGGTCTTAAAAACTGCATACTACAATGGCTCAGCCACATCCATATTTATAGCAGCTCAACTTACAATACCAAGCTATGGAAACAACCTAGGTGTCCTTCAATGGTGAATGGATAAAGAAAATGTGATATATATACACAATGGAATATTACTCAGCTGTAAAGAAGAATGAAATTATGGCATTGTCTCGAGAATAGACATAGAACTGGAGAATATCGTGCTGAGTGAAATAAGACAATCCCCTCAAAACAACAACAACAACAACAAAAAAAAAAACAAAGGCCAAATGTTCTCTGTGATTTGTGGATGCTAATCCAAAACAAGCAAGGTTGGGCAGGTGAATAATCATTGGATTAGACAAAGGGAAATGAAGGGAAGGGAGGAGGGAGGGGAATGGGAAACACAGTGGGATTGATCTATCATAACTCTCCTAGCCTTGTATTTGTATACACGACCAGGGTAACTCCACATCATGTACAACAAAAGAGTGGGATCCTTAATAGAATAAGGAAGCAGCTATGTCCTGTGAGATCATAGGGACACATAAAATTCTCTCCCACTCACAGTCACGGGTGCACTGAAGGGCAGAGCTGACCCTAGGAAACGCAACCGGTGCACGAGGCTGTTCCTTCAGGGTGGCTGTGTTTCTTTCTCCCCCTTCCTTACTACCCTATTACAGCAGCCTCAACTGTTGCTAGAGACTGTATTTCCACACAGTGGAGAAAGGGAAGCAAAAGGATCCGAGTCTATTGAACCTTCTTCAAACTCTGCAACAGTTACTAAGATTATTACTGTAAGCCATGCCTACCACCTTATATTGCACACTGCAGACCGCAAACGCCTTCAGAGCCTAGAGTTATAGCTACTATGAATTCCACTTCTCAGTTAGCAGTTTTTAATTATAAATGCTTTCTGTTTGAATTGGTACAATAGCTTCCCCCTGCCCCTGGTGTAATATTTCCCTTTTTCTGTCATAACTTTTAAAAATTAGAATAATTTATCAACTATGAACTCATTAAAAGCTTACAGCTCAGTGGTTTCGAGTACACTCAGTAACCATCACTTCTATCTAATTCCAGAATAGTTTCATTAGCTCCCTCCACCCCGAAAAAAAAAATTCCCCATATCTATTCACAATAACTCTTCATCTCCATGTCATTCCAGATCCTGACAACACTAATCCATTTTCTGTCTCTATGGATTTGCCTTTTCTGGAAATGTTCATATAAGTGGAATAATACAGTATTGTGGCCTTTTGTGACTGGCTTCTTTCTCAAGGTTCATCTATGTATAGCATATATCAATATTTTCTTTTTTATTCTTTTGCAGTGCTGACAATTAAACCTAGGGCCTTACAATTGAGTTATAGCCCCAACCCTTTTTATTTTTTATTTTGAGACAGGGTCTCACTAAGTTGCTTAGGGCCTCACTAAATTGCTGAGGCTTGCCTGGAACTTGTGATCCCCCTGCCTCAGTCTCCCAGGTTGCTGAATATTCGAGGTCAGAATATTCAGATACATATATATATATGAAGCATATGATTTAATGTGTTCCTTTTTATGGCAGAATAATATTTGATTGTATGGATATACCACAATTTGTTTATCCATTCATAAGTTGATGGATATTTGGGTTGTTTCTGCCTTTTGGTTACTAGGAATAATGCTGTATGAAGATTTGAGTATGAGATTTCACATGGACATGTTTTCAGTTTTCTTGGGTATATTCCCAGGAATGGAATTATTAGACCATATGATAATTGTGTAACTTCTGAGGAAATGCTGAACTGCTCTCCACAGCGGCTGCACTATTTTACATTCCCAATTGATATATGAGGTCTCCTATTTCTCCAACATTTGTTATTGTCTGTCTTTTTGATTTAGCCACCCTAGCAGATTTTTTTTAAATATTTTATTCTAATTTGTTATATATGACAGCAGAATGCATCACAATTCTTATTACACATATGGAGTACAATATACAAAGTATATTCACACCAGACATGTCTTCACACATGTACTTTGGATAATGATGTCCATCTCATTCCACCATCATTTCCAACCTCATGTCCCCTTCCCCTCCCACCCCTTTACCCTATTCTAGAGTTCATCTATTCCTCCCATGCTCCCCCTCCCTACCCTACTATGAATCAGCCTCCTTATATCAGAGAAAACATTCGGCATTTGTTTTTGGGGGATTGGCTAACTTCATTTATCATTATCTTCTCCAACTCCATCCATTTAACTGCAAATGCCACAATTTTATTCTCTATTAATGCTGAGTAATATTCCATTGTGTATATATAACACATTTTTTATCATTCATCTACTGAAAGGCATCTAGGCTGGTTCCGTAATTTAGCTATTGTGAATTGTGCTGCTATAAACATTGATGTGGCTGTGTCTCTCTAGTATACTGTTTTTAGTCCTTTAGGTATAGATTGAAGAGAGGGATAGCTGGGTCAAATGGTGATTCCATCCTCAGTTTTCCAAGGAATCTCCATACTGCTTTCCATATTGGCTATACCAATCAGCAGTCTCAACAGCA